GCGTAGTCACATCTGGCTATTATTGCTGTCATTAGAAACTTGAATGTGACCGTAAATGGCCATAATTTTCATCATACTAAAAAAATGATCATATGAAATTGATTGAATTTTTTAGTTTTAGACTTATTGCGATCTTGATGCCATTAAAGCAAAAAAGTATCTTGAATAATATATTGGCCAAAAAGCATGCTTTTCATGAGAATTATTCAAAACATGGCAATTTTTAGAATTTCCCTCTTAATATCGAAATGTTATCTTCAAATCAGGGTATGTTCTGCGGTTCTAAAGTGATGCGACGCTTAAAATTAAATCAGTTTAAATACAACGACATGATGTCGTTGTTGCTTTTCTTGGTATATGCAAATTCTTTGTAATATCCGTTTGTTTTACACTACGTATTTTAATTGGGACTTTTCGGAGATGAAAATTTTTCATGATGTCCATTTTAGGTTATATACTGTCTTGTTTTTCCGATTGTCATGGTTGTCAGCGAAGATTATTTGGCACGTTACGTCAGCAGTAATTCGGTCAAGAGCAGGAAGCATCATTTGCATAAAAAAATCAAGAAAGAGTCACGGTGAGATTGAAACTTAAATTAATTTCAATTAAGCTTCTAATGCAGTTTTTGTTAAAATGCTATCTAAGCTATCAGTATTAACATTAGTCTTCAATACTACAGCATTGCTGTTATTTATTAAATTTTTTTGCCATAGTAATTTAATAATGCGGACAGGCATGCGTGCCATCGATTGTTTGTAACCTAAGTACTTATAATTTTTTCGCTCAAAATGTTAAGATTTTCCTTAGGCAGAGGATTTCAGAGCGTTTGGATGTGACTGAAGTATGAAACAATTGTGAAATTTACTCTCTTAACTGATAACGGCAACTTCTAAAATTAAAACGAAGGAGATTCGAAACAGTGGTCAAAACTAATGACAGCGCAAAATGGGCGTAGACCGATATCGTTCATTGTTGCATTCGATCTCATTGTGCAAGATCAGGAAAGCCAACGCTTCGAACCCGGAGGGAAATTTGCTATTGCTGTGTGTGTACAACATATATTTTCTGTTATGTACGTCTGACGTATATGAGCCAGTGTACAGCACTTTTATAAACTAAAGACATGATCACATATGGTTTGATACGGTCTTACAAGTATACCCAAGCAGAAGTCTCGAATCAAAAGGTAAACAGGCTGATTAGACGCGTACATGTGCTTACAACTGTACAAACTCACATAAAAATCAGGTTGTTGGATTACACTTGTCAGCCCTCATCGGTCAAAGTGACTTGACTATTATCGTTTGACAAGTTCAACTCAGTGTAAGCCCCTCACTATCATGGACGGGATCATCAAAGGGTTGCAGCAGATCTCTGTCGATAGCAGGGGACAAACGTCGAAAAGCAAGTAATAACCTTGTAGAAAATATCTGATTCATTCAAGTTTGCTATCGCCCCTTGGGAAGTGACGTTACTGTGATGATTGAGTTAAGCAATTGTTCTGATGGAAAATGCATAGTCTAAAAAATTGTCCTGTGTGCAACTTCTTGCTGCGTATTGAATTAATATCCAAGTAATAATCCGTCTTCTCGATATTTTTGCAACAACTAGCTTCGGTCTCAGTTTCATGAACAGTTATCCTTACGGGTCGTGGAGGTAGCGGTGTCTCCATCGTTCTCCCTCTTAGCCAGCTCTGAGCTTCGACAGAAGAAAGCCGTAGTCTGCAGTAGAGACCGTCGAGACGTTTGTACTTAATCATTCTGGTCCTCCCGAACCATGCGGAAAAAGTGCCAAAACGATAACAACCGACTTTTCTCAGCATGATGAGCAGCGGTTATGCATCACGACTTTCTCGAATATCTGAACGCCGCAAGACTAGCTTCTTCAAAATAATCTCTTACCTATAGAATAACAGACATTCAGGTATTCAGCCAGTATTAATGACAGTATTGGAAAAGTGGAGAAGCTGTATGAATCATGCATAGTCGAAATAAGGTGACTGGTAAGTTTATTCCTTTGCCATAATTTCGAAGGAGACCCTTCCCAACCTGTGTGAAACAATGTTACGTGGTAGATATTGACTGATCTGACCATGTTACAGGTAGGAGTCGAATGCTCTTTGTCGATTTCTCTTGGAACACTGATCTTGAAGGCACTACTGGCTGAAGTTACACACGTTACCCTATGTGCATAAACAAATTAAGCACTGCTTTGATTTCATGAACCGTTAATTTTAGGATTAAAATTTTCGACGCAGACGAAGTTGCTCGTCCAGCTGTTGCGGATACAGTAAAGTCGAAAGAAGTCGAGGATGTCGAAGATGATGATGTTAAGCCAATCATAACTCTAGTGAACAACCCCACTGAGGAGTTGAGACTGCTTGGCAAGTTTAAAACTTCCAGTTGGACTGTCAATGAAGGTAAACGGTTGTTTCTTCTTATGTTGATTTGAGATGTTTGATTTTTTGTAGCAAGAGGAATTTTACGTAAGCTTAAGTGTCTTAGGAAAGAAGGTCAGTGTCAGCTTCGCGGTCATTTGAAGTAATAATTTCAGAACCGATCTCTGATATACAGGTGCTTCTGTTGATGATCAGGATGTCAGTGAAGAGACTTTCAAGTGAACTAACCTTTCAGAACCGCATAATTAACTTCCAAGATCGATATTTAATAGGTGACTAATGTGTATTAATACATAATTCCTCTTCAGTTTTACGTTGTAATGCGTATCGTTGAGTTTGCCAGATTCGCAGAGGACTTCGATCACTAATTATTGTAAACTGGTCTGTTAGTAACGCACAAGACAGCAGCGCCCGATTGACTGATACATACATCAGATGAGGTGTTTCAAACTGATTCCTAGATGAAGGTCAAACTAAAAACCAAGCTTGTTCTTCCGTGAAGAATATTCGACTGCTTACAACCAGTTCGCACCAAGTACGGGGATTGACTTCATAGGCAGTAGACGGAGTCGCCCAGTTATAAATATACTCAGGTGCAAACGATTCATATAGCCACTGTATGATGTAGAATGGCGCTACTGGGTTTAAGACTTTCGACCCTGGTAATGCCAAATGAAAGAAATTACATGCTTTTTAGTAGACAGAAGGTAGTAAATAATATGATAGAATAGTAAAAGAAAGTAGACAGTCTTTTGAAGAAAAGTTCCGTACTGGGTAGATTTTAGTCGTTTATGTCTTCTTTGCTCGGTATCATTTGAACCATCGTTGCATAGGTGGCGTGTTGGCACAGTATGTAAGAAGTCAACTTCGAACTCGAACTCCAAACGTCGTGAGTTCGATTTCTGTGATGGGCAGTCATTGTCATTACCATTAATTTCACTGAGCAAGCAATGTACTATATATGTTACCCCGACCGGAGATACTCGATCGATAGAGCGTCAACCTGAGAACCGATAGGTCATGGGTTAAAGCCACGATAACTGTCAGTCGCCTTTCTTCCTGCCTAGTTTGATAAAGGTGTATCACTGTGGGACGAGAAGAGACTACACACATCCTTGTATAGAGCTGCTGTCGATTTAGCCTTAAAAATGGGGCACTCCTGACTAATGACATGGAAATGGAGATCAACGCCCCCATCACGTAACTGTAAGGAAGACTGACATTCCAAAGATTACGAACTTTCACTCTTTTCTCGTTGCATAATCGATGACAGTATGCTACTGTTTTATGCTAAGTGCACGGATGTTGTCTAACTTTATGCATTAAAGAGCAAACCCACCGTTTGATAGAAATTTCTGCTCTTGAGCTGTTTCATGAATTAAAAGTAGACATGTGTTATTTTGTTTTAAGAGATTCCTGGCAGTTCTTCGGAAGCTGCGGGTTCATCCATGGTTACTCAAACACAGCCATCATCCAACTTCCTCGGAATGGTTGGAAAATCACTGGTAAATTTGAAGACGAAAATAAAGAGGGAGCCTGGTTTGATCGAAGACGATGAAAGTTGCACAATCGTCGAAAAACTTTCACAGAAGCGCACAGTGCATTTTTCTGACGACATGGATCTTTCACCTCCACGTTCGAGACCTGTTGCTGCCTCTGTCCTCAGAAGGTCAGATTCACAACATCGAACAGACAGATCAGGCAGTTCTAACCTTGATTCAACTGACTTGTCCCCTCGTCAGAAAAAAGTTAAAGCGGAGGTCAATGCCGCAGGCTATGTGGACGATGACCTGTCACCAACTCGAATCAGAAGACCGTGCGCTAGCACTTCTGCAGCTGTCTCAGAGTCCGACGATCCGACGTCGACGAAACCATTGAAATTTGTACTCTCTATGGGCGGTGGTATACGATCTGTTCAAGCTCTTCGAGCCGAAAAAAGTATATTCAAGGAAAAATACGAAAAGGAACTTCTGAAGGTGAGTTAAGAAGTCAGACGAATTTTTCAGTGTCGTTTTTTGTTAGAACTTGGGGGGGGCTTTGGTCAGAAAGAATAGAGTTTATATTAGTTGTTCCACTGAGTTACTACAGCTTATGCCTTCTGATTCACATAGCTGTATATGATCTTTTTATTACATAGAAACAACCCAGTCATATGGGTTTACTAGCGTACTGCTAGTTTTTGATACCGCCGCTATGAGAAATAGCATGGTCTCTTTTGATACCGGATTAAAACGGCGTAATAGCACCTCTCTGCTTGTAGCGGCCCTGCTCAGTGATCCAGTTTTGCATCCGTGCACTGCAAGTGATCATATATCATGGAGTCATGATCTACTTAGATGGTCTCAAGAATCAATCGAACGGTGCCTGTGCGCCGTTATAAATCCCGTATCAAAAGGGAAAATGTGACCTTTTTATTAACGCATTTTTAACAGCAGTTTGTTGTTCCGGTCAATCGCCTCTTTATTTTTAGATTCATTGTCATATTTTCAGTCACGGTTTCTTATAGTTCTTTACTTCGCGTCATTTTTTTGTCTCCCTTTCTCTGCCCTGGAAAAATCTGTTAGGATCCGATTTCCTAGAATCGGTTGGATCATCATTTCACATGGCCGAACCAATGAATCCCATTTTTAATGTTTTTTCTATTATTAAGGCTGCACGTGAGATGCCCTTAGGTAGATATATTGTGGATGTATTATTTCTTGCAGACATCCCACGTCCATCAGATCATTCACATTTCAACTTACGCAACTGTTGCTGATGCCTCCTGTAGTGTGATCGAACACCTAACTTCGTACATAAAAATTGGCCTTAGTGCCGTTCTCTAGCCATTTTGGATTTTCTTACTGTTACTTATGTGTATTTAAGGCCGGGCAAGACTTGTCGGGCCAAAATGCGGAAACGGTAGTGCGAAAAAAGATAGTCAAACGAGGGAAACCAGAATCGACGGAAGAGCAGAAAGAATTGAAGAAAAAAATCGAACAAAAATATCAGCTGTGGAATAAGGGGTACAATTAATGGTCATAACTTTGACGTTTATGCTTTATTGTTGTTTAAGAGTAAAACAGCACGAGATGAGAACCGTGAAGCTTCAAGAAATGGCGAAGGAAATCGATAAGCCTCTAGCTAGGTATCGAGACGATGCGGACCTAGAAAGTTTTTTGAAAGGTCAGGAACTGAAAGAAGACCCTATGTTGGAGTATATTCAACGAAAGAAGCACAAGAAGAACCGTCCAGGTCAGTTTTGTTCGCTCCTATACTTTGTGGCCGCCTGATCAGAATATCCTCTTTAGAACTTCCGAAATATACTGGTCCTCTTCCACCTCCTAATCGATTTGGCATTCTTCCTGGCTTTCGTTGGGACGGGCTTGACAGGTCAAATGGTTTTGAAGACAAACTCCTTTCCCAGAAAAATTTACGTAAAGCCGAAGAGGAAGAATATTATAAATGGAGCAGCGGAAATTACGAATAACTTATAATAAATAACGGCTTCATTTTTTCCTTTTCTACAACGTATGTCTTTCGTGCCTGTAGAAACTTCTTAAAATAAACGATTTCATGGGTTATTTTGGCAAATAGACATAAATAAGAGCTACTCCTCAGGCTACTCGGCTAACGAGCCTTTTCAGGATCTGGCGATGACATGGAAAGGTCAAATTCCCGTTGAATACTGCTCGATAGCGATATATCTGACGGATACGAAAGCATGACAGGTCATCTTTAGACGATCGCGCTGTCATTTTCATTTTTTATGGAGATAAGGCTTGAGTTCGCGCTTTGCAGTGCAAACGGTCTGTGTATTTACTGGTTTCTCCTTCATTAATATCTGAATCAATGAAATACGTTTAGTTTAAGATTATTTAGAAAAGGGCTGCTTAGGCGGTATATTATAAGAAGTTCTGGGTTCAAGGTCGAGGACACGCCTACCTTCCTTCAGAGGTTAATAAATGAGTATCACTCTGGGGAAAAAACCGGACACTATGCATAATGCTCACTTTATCTGCTAACATAGCTGTTGTCGACTCATTAAAGAAGCATTCCATGTCGATGGCATTGAAATGGTTATCAGCACCTACCGTAATCTTTATGACATGAAGGGTGCACAAATTACCTAATCATCAAAGTGTAAGGAAGTCGAACATTTAAACGGCTACAAACTATTCTTTCCTTCCTTTTAAAAGCTGTTTCCTCCTACAATTGTTATTGCTCTTATTTTACTCTGTTACTTTATAACGAGCAGCATTTTGCAAAGGGTACAGCGGCTTCACGGATAGCACAAATGGTGTTTCTT